CTTGGCCTATGAGCTCATCTAAGCTGGTGGGCAAGCAAGAGGACTACCTTCATTTCCCAAAGTGTGCAGTCATTTCCCTGACCTTACATTGCACCTTAGAAACACAGTGTCAGGTCAGGGACAATCAGCTCACAATGGATTTGGAGTTAGGGGAGAGATTACCAAGTATGCTGAAATGGAAATAAAGGGAGCTTCAAAAGGAGCTCTCCAAAATGGATGAATGGGCAAATGAGGTTCAGTTTGAACAAGTGTAAAGTGATGCACATTGGGGCAACCACCCCACCCTTAACAAACATACACATTCAATGGGGTCTGAACTGGTGGTGACTGACCAGGAAAGTGTTCTTGGAGTTGTGGTGGATAGCTAGATGAAAATGTCGACCCAGTGTCGGCAGCTGTGAAAAAGGCAAATTCCATGTTAGGGATCATTAGGAAAGGGATTCAGAATAAAACTGCCAATATCATAATGTGTAATATACCACACGTAGAACATAGTGTACTGTTCCGGCTGATGCACATGGTGAAGGGCAATGCAAGTGATCTGAGGATGGAGGCAACTCCCTTTTGGGGCTTTCTAGTTTAGACAAAGGGGGGGGTAGGAAGAGACCTAATAGAGGCATATAAAATTATGTATGCCAGGGAGAAAATGGACTGAGAGAAGTTTTTCTTCCTGTCTCATAATATTGGAACCAGGGTAATCTAATGAAACTGATGGTAGATTCTGGACAGACAAAAGGGAGGACTTATTTAAGCTATGGGATTTTTTTACCACAAGATGCAGTGATGGCCACCCAACTTGGATGACTTAAAAATGGATTTACACAAATTTTGGGAGGATAAGGCAATGGCTACTACCCACTGCTGGCTCTGTACTATTTACAGTTGCTGAGAATCGCAAGTGCAGACAATGCCTGGCTGAGCTCAGGTCCCGCTTGCGGGTTCCCCATAGGCATCTGGTTGGCCACTGTGATAAGAGGATGATGGACTAGATAGGACTTTGCTGTGATCCAGCAGAACTCTTTTAATGCTCCTAGGCCATTTCCTGCTCAGGTAGATGGTCACACTCAAAACATCTGTAAGGAACACTTCACACATGACATTTTCTGTACATAAAAATGGGGGTCTGGTTTAGGGTGGGGTGGGGGACATTTTTAGACTATGTGATAATTTGGCAGACTGATGGGTTCCACGTGCCTGCGCAACTACAGTTGTAAACAAACAAGGGGAGAATGGAACCCTGATGAAGTGGGATACCTGACTGTGGGGAGACTTCTAAACGCATTTGCCTGAACGTGTTTACAATAACCCTGCAGATCTTATTGCTCCATGTAGGAGTCAAAGGTGGGTGGATCAAGGATATTGGGGGCAGTGGTGGTGACTGGGTCCTCTACACAATTTCAAAAACCCTCTTCAGGTGTTGAACTAGCTATGGAACTAGATAGCTAGAGATATGTATAAGTATGTATGAGGTATGTATTATACATGTATATATGGAAGTGCATATTCACTCACAAAAAGCAAGGAAGGAGATTTTTATGGGGCATTTATACAAGTTACCTTTAAAGAGATTGTGTTGTATGTTTCCATTTTGGGAAAATAAATTCCTTTTATTCAACCCCCTAGTGGTTCAAGAAGAGATTTCACATATACTTTGGAGCCCTGTCTGTGCTCTTTTAGGATAGGGGATCACTGCTGAGACCAGGAAGGCCCTGGAACCACTCAGTTTCCCTATAATAAAATCATTTTGCTCTATGGAGAGCTGAAATTTATTCAAGCCCATCCATTCTATGTCTTTGGCTGTACAAAAATAACTTACATGGCTAGAACTGTCCATTCTCATTCACCTCCCTTTACAAATTGATCAGTCTCACTGAGGTGCACAGAGGGATGATTTCTTTGGTGAGGTTCCTAAGCAACATTAGGAGAAGATAGAGAAGCTCTGCAAGAGCATCCCAGGGTGGTGTCGTCAAACGCTTACCAAGGCCTATGCTCTAGCAGGGAATCCCACAAATTGTTCCTGAGTTAGACCAGTGGTCGGCCAAGCTGGCTGGTAGCAGCACGTGAAAGAAGAACTATTTGGAAGAACTATTGCATCAAGGTTGTTGTGCACATTGCAAAACAAACAAACAAGCAAACAAAACACTATTGAGATTGTACATCCCATTGATGGAAGAAAGACTGGTGGATATAAACATACTAAATAAGTAAATAAACAAATGGGAATTCATGGGGAATGGAATGCCAGAGAGAGGGAACACATAGAACAATAATCATAGAAAGTTGCCTTATACTGATTCAGACACTTGGTCTATCTAGCTCAGCAGGCACATGGTCTTGCCCCTGCAATTGAGGGGGCTGGTGCCACATGACGTGATCACATCATGTGCTCACGCTGCATGGCAAGCTCATGTCACTCGTGTGTGCAATACATCAGCACATTGCAGGTGTTCACGCACAGCATGCACATGTCACTCTGGAATATTGAGGGGGCCAGGCCTCCTCCTTGAAATTTTTTGAAGGGTCCTCAGCCCCCCCCCCCGGATGGTGCTCCTGTAGCTCAGTATTGTCTACACAGCAGCTCTGCAGGGTTTCAGGCAGCTGACATTCCCAGCTCCACCTGGAGATGCCGGGGATCACACCTGGGACCTTTGCATGCAGAGCAGAAGCTCCTCAATGGAGCCTCAAGCCTTCCCCGCCAGGCCTGCTCCTCAATGGAGCCTCAAGCCTTCCCTGCCAGGCCTGCTCCTCTAGTCTGATCCCTCTGCCCACTTGTCTCTCAGGGCTTATCCACACTTCTACTTGTCCCATTCCTAGAAGCAAGAGCCAAGCACTTTTCCATGTGTCCCACACTTTCCAGGCATGGGTCCGAGCGGGTTTGCCTTTGCCCCACCACCCAATTGCCACTTGTTCTGATTTAATGCTAAACCATGGGTTTTCCTAGAGGAAAGCTGTGGGGCAAATGGAGGTATGCATGAGCCCCAAGTGAACCTTTGCTTTGCTTTCTTGGGGCAGTGTGGGAAATTAAACTGGTTGCTACTGCTAAGAGTAGAGTGTCCAGTCAGCTGCCAAAAGTGCCAGGATGTGAATATCATTTGCTGGGAAAGAGGGATGGGACAGAGTTATTGCATCCAAGTCTCCTTCCCTTCCTACCCTCTCAGGTGCTAAGTTCAGCAGAGACACCTCTCTTGGTAGTTCCTCCATCTTCAGAAGCTCAGGGGGTGGGGTGGCTCGGAAGAGGGCATTCTCATTGGCCATCCCCAAGTGCATCTGGTACCTTTATTATATAGCTTCAAGCAATTGCTGAAGATGCACCTCTTTGCCCTGGCTTTAGACACTTTGTCGTTGTTGTTGTTTAGTCATTTAGTCGTGTCCGACTCTTCGTGACTCCATGGACCAGAGCACACCAGGCACTCCTGTCTTCCACTGCCTTCCACTTAAAAGGTCTATATTTTCTGGACCTACCTTACTTCTGTAATTTTAAGTTGTAATGTAAAACTGTTTTTAATATTGCATTATAATGTTGTGTTTTAATGTTATAACCCACTCTGGGACTTTAGGGTGAAGGGTGAATAATAATAATAATAATAATAATAATAATAATAATAATAATAGCAGCAGGTATTTGGTTGACGACTGGTTTAATCTAGTGGCACAGAATGATTCCCCCCCCTTTTCCATTTGCAAATTACCTAGCAATATGGGTGAGCCAGTAGGTCTTACGTGAGAACTTATTAGCTTGCTATTAAGGAGATTCACAAACACACTCCACACTAAAAATAATAATAAAAGCCACTTCAAGGCAACTGGGAGAGTGGAAAGAACTCTTCCGCTGTCTGTGGGAGGGCTTGCCATGGGTGGCAACAATTCATTATCCTTTCTTTAACTTTTTATAACACAGTCTCTGCAGGTGCTGGCAATACAGCTCTTCTTGGTCGTTACCAGCCGGCAGCCACCCTCCCATCCCCAGAATGAAACATTGCTTCACAGGGATGGGAATGGCAGTCACTGTCCTCTGAGAGGAGCTCCAACAGTTCCCATCAAAAACTGAAAATACAACAGGGACCAAATGCCCGTTGTTGCAGCCACCATAAATGATGGGCCTCCTCACTTCACCCCAGAGTCTTTAAAAGATTGTTGCTTCCCCCAACACACACACTCACAAATCTATGTGTGTGTGCATCTTCCATCTTAAAAACTCACTACTCCATTTGCAGATGTCCGTTTTCGGTGGGGACATATTTTCCAAACATACTTTTCTCCATACTCTTTTGGGTAGGGTGGAGGGACAACAGCACAACATTCAGAGAAGTCTGCATTCTGAAAGGTAACTGTTGTTCTCAGACATCCCTAGACCAGCTGATTTAAGCTCATGGACCACAGTTTGGGAACACATCTCCTAGATGAAGGCGGGCTCCAGTAGGCTCACTCCAAAAATACAGCCCTACCTACTACACTTCGCTTTAACTTTAAGATTCCTGAAACCTTTCTGCCTGCCGATATCATGAACTAGATGACACCCAGCTTACATTCAGCCCGGATTCACAAACATTACTTGTACATCATGTTGTAAGTGCAACAGCAAAGATCATTCAGAATGTAACTTAAGGTGTTCTCTCAATGTTAAAGCAAGCCAACCAAGAGGCTGCTGCTGGTGATGTAGCTTAGCAACCAGTTACAGTGTCATGATCTTTGCTGAGGTTGGCTGTCTTCTGATTGGCTGTGCAATTCTGAGGGACTGTCCCCTTATATGTGTTAGTTGTATATCCCTCCACTATGAACAAGGCCTGACTAAAAAGTCAAAACCTTTCTCTCCAGGTTGTACATTGTTTTTGTTCAGTTTCTCTCCATTGATGCATTCCCAGCATTCCTGTTGTCTCTGGACTCCATCTGTGTTGTTTAAGCAATATTGCTAATGCAGCGAGATCCTCCAAGCTTTCGGCTTCTTTGCTGTTTCTGTATCTGCCTTTGAAACAAAGCATGCTGCATGCATGGAGGCTCCAGGGGGCAGGGAGTGGAAAATAGAGTTTTACGTACCTCTGAACCCATTTCCATTGCCAGTGGAGCAAGCTGGGGAAGGAGACCCCTGGGGTCGGATGACGGGAGCAAAGGCACTCTTTTGTTTGACAGCAGGAAAGACGGAGGAGGAGAATGGGAGGATGGAGGAAGTGCTTGAGGAACCAACTGTTGGACTTGAAGACATCACTGAAGAGGAGGGGAAGGGAGAAACAGAAATTCCATTAGAAGAAATAGGAATTTTGGGGACTGGAAAATCCCCCTCCCTCTTTCCCTCCCACTTCACACCACTTTACAAACCAAAGAGCATCTTTAAGGGGTGACTGATGAGAACTTACCGTAGTTATTTGCTTTCAAAGCCCAGTTCAGGTGTTCAGCCTGGAAATGTTCTGACACAAAGGCCACATCCACAACTTGCATTTAAGGCATTCTTATACCACTGTAATCATCATAGCTTCCTCCGAAGAATCCTGGGAAGTGTAGTTTGTTAAGGGTGCTGAAAGTTCTTAGGAGACCCCTACTGCCCTCCCAAAATGACAATTCAATCCTTCCAGCCAGGGAGCTCTGGGAATTATAGGAATGGAGTCTCCTAACAATTCTCAGCACCCTTAACAAACCATAGTTCCCAGGATTCTTTGGGAGAAACCATGACTTTTAAAGTGACCCAGTGTGGTGTAGTAGTTAGGGTGTCAGAATCAGGCCTAGGAGATCAGGGTTCAAATTCCCACTTGGCAACGAGGATCACTGGGTGACTTTGGGCCAGTCCCTGTCTCTCAGCTTAACCCACCTCTCAAGGTTTTGGGGGGATAAAATGAGAAGAAGAAGAAGAAGAAACATGTACACCACCTTAATAGTGCTTTAAATACAGTGGAACCTCGGCCTTCAAGCATTTCGGAAGCTGAACAATTCGGAAGCCGAACGTCGAAAACCCAGAAGTGAATGCTTACGTTTTCAAACGCATCTCGGAAGAATTCAATTCCATTGAAATTGCCGACCGGCAATTGCGCCTCGGTTGTTGAACGTTTTGAAAGTCGAATGGTCTTCCGAAATGGAATACGTTCGACAGCCGAGGTTCCACTGTATATGGACAGGTGTGGCCAGAGTGTAAGGCACCAGGGAGGTGTATGCTGGCTCCGCCTGTGATGTCCCTGCACACACCCTTCTTTCTCAAGGTTCCTTGCAAGAATCTTCCAAGTATGTTCAGTCCAACAGGCTCAGAAACCCTCTTCCCAGTCAAGACAGGAAGATTAGGGGGTGGAGCAAAAAGATGTCCAGGAGGGAACATGGCCCTTAGAGTGAAAAAGGCATTATTTGACCCCATTCTATTGTAACAGAGCGAACAATGGCTACTTTACAAGTAGGTCTTTCAAAAGACAGGTTTTATTTGTAATGTTAATAGATCTAAGAAGAAACAGAAACAGGAAGGCACATTGTCCTTGTTTTGCAACTTTTACAAAGATCTCCTGAAAGACTTGATTAATTCAGTGGCCATTATTTGTAGCCTGGAAGATACATGGCTTGCTTTTCTTGGATACAAATGAGATTATTGCAGAAACTGTAAGTAAATTCCTGTTGAGAGCAATGGATTTAAAAAAAACAACAAAAAACCACCTTGTCCTTATAAACATAACCACTTTTCACTACCTCTCAAAAGAGTCATTTAATATTGTATCTCATTTTTCAAGTGTTAATAGATGTACTGTATATTCCATTATGAGATATGTTGACTGGTTCAATAAACTCTTTGATATAAAACAAATAAATAAGACCTTCTGAAGCTATTACATAATATAGTATAATAGGGTAATATTCAATCACATACTCCTTTTCCTGCATTATAAATTTCTCCTTCCCTTTCTTTTTATATCTATTAGCTAGTTTTCTTTTTATGTATGATTGTAAATGTTTGTGTGAGTACATCTCTGGAAGTGCTGTTGTTGGAGCAATGCATTTTATTGATGTGTTGGTTTAACAAGATTTATATACCACATAATAATCAATAAAAATCTCTAAGCAGTTTTATCCAGACAAATGGATAAAATCAAACTTTAAAAATAAGTAGACATGAAATGTAGCAAACTAAAGAGCAGTTTTTCAACAAATCTGGATAATAAAGTTTTATGTCTGTGTAGGTTTCTCTAAACTAAAAAACTTTTAGTTACCATTTAGTTATAGCGATACCAGGAAAGGTCCTAGAGCAGACAATTCCACAGTCGGTCTGTGGACCCTTACAAAAGGATGCGGTCATTACTAAGACCCTGCATGGGTTTCGCAAAAACCAATCATGCCAGACATCTTTTTTTTTCAACAATCTTGGCGGGTCAGGGGAATGCTGTGGACATAGTGTATCTTGAAAAAGTTAATGGGGTGGTGCTGTGGTCTAAACCACTGAGCCTCTAGGGCTTGCCGATCACAAGGTTGGCACTTGGGATCTGCATGATGGGGTGAGCTCCCGTTGCTCTGTCCCAGCTCCTGCCAACCTAGCAGTTCGAAAGCATATCAGTGCAAGTAGATAAATAGGTACTGCTCTGGCGGGAAGGTAAACTGCTCTGGCTTCCATCACAGTGTTCCGTTGCGTCAGAAGCACTTTAGTCATGCTGGTCACATGACCAGGCTCCCCCAGCCAGAAAAGCGAGATGAGCACTGCACCTCATAGTCACCTTTGACTGAATTAAGCCGACCAGGGGTCCTTTACCTTTACCTAGTGTATCTTGATTTCAGTAAGATTTTGACAAAGTCTCCCATGATATTCTTGTGAGGAAGTGGTAAAATGTGGATTGAACAAGGTAACTTGGGGTCCCTTCCAACTGTAGAATTCTGTAATTCCATTATTTTAGCAGGCATGGAAAGCAATACAGAGAAGGCAACTGCCAAATATTAATAGGCAGGAAGTTCCAGAGATTAGGTGTTGCCACACTAGAAGACTGGTTGGAGTGAATATTATGTGGTCTTGTACAGTGGCCAGTGGTTCAGAGGGCACATCTGGGGCAAGGCAATCTTTCAAATAAACTGACACAAACATGATTTCTCCCTCTCTCATGACACTCATAGACATGCAGTGACATTGAAATTCACTAAAGACTCAGGATGGACAAAAGAAAGCATTTTTTTTCATGCAGTGCACAGATAAACTATGGAACTTGGTCCCACAGGAGGTTGTGATGGCCACCAAATTGAATGGCTTTAAAACAGGGTTAGGCAAATTCATGGAGGATAAGGCTATCACTGGCTACTAAGCCTGATGGCTATTGTTGTTCTCGCATAGTCAAAGGCAGTGCACTTCTGACTACAAGTTGCCAGGAACCTCAGGAGGTCCTGCTTTGGACAGACATCTGATTGGCCACGGTGAGAACAGGATGGTGGACTAGGCTCCTCTTATGTTCTTCTTATGGTTGGATTTTAAGTATAGAACTATATCAAAGGTGTCCCTATCTTCATCTGTCAAATGTTGCAGGACACAGAAGCTAAAGACCAATATTTTAGATGGTGATTATTATTATTATGTTTGAAGCAAACTTTAGACACTAGGAGAGAGATGGTTGAAACTGGAAGGAACTAAGCTTTGCAATCCATTTTGGGATCCAATTGGCAAAAACACTCATTTTGTTGCTCAAATCCACAGCATGCCCACACAATCACAGCTGGATTTTACTCTGCACATTTTCTTCTCAGAGCCTGAACATTTCCTTTTTTAATTTTTTAAAGGGTCTGTCAGCATCTCATTGTAAACCCTTATTGTCAGGGGTTTACAACTCAGCTGTAAAAATTTCTCTCTTTTTCCCTGGAGCTAAAACTTGGCACACATAACTCAGTCAGGAAGTGGAGTTTGTAAGGGTTTTCTTTTTTACAAAAAAAACGGGGAAAAAACCTACCAAACATCTGTTTGGCCATTTTTAAACTCTCTGTGCAAAAATCAATAGACATTCAAATTTCTTTCTTGAAGGGTGACTCTTTCAAAAAGGCAACTGATTATTATTAATATTTTCTTTTAAAAAATACCTCAATATGTTCTCATCCTATAATGTGGTCTGGATTTATTTTTTGAAAACAATTCAGTATTGTCAGTAGATAATGAATGGCTATCTTAATCGAAATGACTTTGACAAGGACTTGGAACAATCACCTTTAATCCCAGCTCCACTATGGACACTCATAACTGGGCAGATGGAATAGTTATTAAAGAAAACAAGAGGGACCAGCAACAAACTATTATGCATACTTGCTTTTTAATAAGTCATCTCCTGTTCAGGGTTCCAGCCAGCCGCCATAACACACAACATTCCACGGTTGATGAACATCCTCAGTCTTTACTAGGCTGTGGAGGGGTTTTTTGGGTGTGTGTGTGTGTTCCTCCCTCAGTTCATTTATTATTATTATTATTATTATTATTATTATTATTATTATACCTCTGCAGTACAATGATGGTTTCCTTTTGTTGCTTAGTGGCTTGCTTGGTCTCCAGTCCTGCCAGGAATCACCACCTGAGTTTCTTATTAAAAGGAGTGATGACCAGGCCTGGGTGAATCTCTCCATTTCAGCTTCTCTGTTTCCCATTTTTCCAATCTCAAGTTCAGTTCTCCACATTTCCACATCAGTTTGCATGTTTTTTTTTAAAAGCCCTCATGAAAATTCAGCAGCATTTTATTTTATTTTGCCCAATACACACATTTTTGCAGTGCAACTTTCCCTGTTTTAATGCATTTTTATATGTCACTTTCATTAATATGTGCACTTTTATGCATAATTTACCCCAATACATGCATTTTTCTTGCACTTTACTTGGTTTGAAAACTGCATTTCAAAGTTCGGAAGAATGCAAATTTTGAAGGATGGCTATGTTTCGGTCCAATCTTGTTCCGGGAAGTGCAAATTAAGTAGGGTTGCCTTTAAATGTGAACTGAATCAAATTTCTCCCCCATCTCCCATGACGGCTGCTACTTCAGCTTTTTGTGCTAGCGGATGTGGCTAATGGTACAGAGTATAGACTATAGACTAAAACCGAACTGTACGATCCAGCTGCTTATTCAGAATCAGGCAGCACAGTGTAGAGCCAGTACTCAGTTGACCTCCAGTTGCTTCCCTGCTGCTCACCAGGGGATAGAGAGGGAGGGGCAAGGCAGTGGTGAGGCTGGCATGGTGCATAACTGTTGATGCTCTACTGTACTGCCCAGTACCAGTATACCCTCCAA